CCATGTCGGTGTGCAAATGTCCAACAAATCCCCCCTTCTTTCTCCTCTCGCTCTCCAGTGGCCGCCCCTCCAAGGCCTATAAGGTGGCAGGTATAACCCTGCTGGCCTGTGTCCTGATTGCGGGGCAGGCAATGGTTGCCTACTTCCTCCTCAGCCAGAGGAGCGACATCAGATCTCTGGAGGAGCAGAGCAACAACCTGAAGGCAGCGCTGACGAAGGGAAGATCTGGTGAGGAGGCCAAATTCAGTTCAGATTGGGAAAGATGTACTATACACTGTTGGCATTTAACAGAATGGCTTATGCTGCAAAAGCCGGATAAGTTAGGATAACAACCTTTTGGGCAGCTCAAGAAAATGTCAAATGTCAGCAACATCCCTAGTGACCTGTAGTAGATTGCATCAGATTTATGATAAATCACTGCAGTGGATGTAAAGGCAAACCAAATAATGACATTTTCTCCTCTTTTTTCTGATCTGATGAAAGGAAAAATATTAATTCTCATACATTAAAAATATATAATCTTTAATTTTCTCAATCAATCTCAGTTTTTTTCTACCTCTTACACTGTTACTCTTTCTGTCTGTAGTCTCTGCACCCATTCGCATGGACATGCCCATGAATGCCCTGCCCAAGATGATGGATGACTTTGTGGATGAGGTAAAATAATCTATTGATTTTTTTTTTTTTACAGAAACACAAGATATTTTTAATAAGAGTCTCTTAAATTAATTTTTTTGAAGCAGAACACTGAAAACAGACTTGTCAGTGCTTCCAGTTGGATCTTTGCTGTTTCTCTCTATTGCAGTTTTTTGTTTGGTTCCAGCTGACAAATATGCAGATACTGATAAGCTAATATTTCCGATATAGCAGTCAAGCCATTTCATCAGTCAGGCTCTAGTTACAATGAGGTGCAGGTATATTGTTTAAATTTAATGATATAATAAAAATAAATAAATCCAGCTTTAAGACAGTGACACTGTTGTTTTTTGTCTTGTTCCTCTTGCAATAAGTCATTATTATAAAATCAGATGTATGTTGTGGTCTTCTCTCAGTTCTCTGTTTTGTTTCACTTATTGTATTGCAGGAGGCTTCCACCGGAGCCCCAGAAAAAAGTGGTATGTTCTGTATATATTTACTGTATATATATTTACTGTATATATTGTATGATCTCTTTCTGTCTTCCTTTTTTCTCCTTCATATGTTTCCTGCAAAGTCTAACTCCTCTGGTCTCCTCTTCTAGCTCCTCAGCCGGCCACTGACTGCCAGCTGGAGGCAGCTCATCTGAAGGCTGTGCAGGTGCCAGGTTTCCAACCATCCTGCGATGAGCGTGGCCTCTACAAGGCCCAGCAGTGCTACATTAAACACTGCTGGTGTGTGAACCCAGTCAACGGGCAACAGATCCCTGGATCTCTGCGCGAGGGACCGGTCAGATGCAGGGCACCTGTCTTCGCTGGTGAGACGAAGTTAACTGGTCATGAAGTCAGATTGAGAGACACTCAGTTAAAAGGAATATTATATTTATGATTTATTGTATTTATGATTTTAGTTAATTAATGTAGGAGTTTGTTTTAATATCATTCAGTCATCCTTGTTTGTGTATTATTAGCAAGATATATTTAAAAAAAACAGAGACGTCTGCTTAGGCCCTGTGCCAGGAGATTATTTTTGGTGCAGATCCAAGAATGTTTGTTTAAAACAATTTATCATTGCAAGATTTTTGACATTTTATAAATAAAATGTTGCACTTATTTGTGTGAAGAAAAACAAACCTTTGGGATATTTAATTCCATTATTGTGTATCAATGCCTTTATGGAGATCTGATTCTGGATCCAGATGCACATTTTAGAAATCTATAGCATTTCAATTATTAAAATTATATATATAATGTAATTATTTTGAAACCCTGCTTTATACTGAAATGTTGTTGATAGTCAAGTTTCTGTGTTTGTAGGCAGCATGAGCAAAGTGTTGACTCTGCCTGATGTCGAGGTCTAATGCTGTGGTGAGTACACATATGGTGTCCCTCTGATTCACTATTTAGTTATATATAAATATCTGTAAGCAGAACTGTATGTAAGATGTGAGAATACGTATCCTCACTGTATTTTAAGTATACATACTTTATATTGCTGCTAAAACTTTTAATTAACTGTATGTTTTCATCTTCTCTTTTCTGTTTTTTTGGGGGGGGGGTAAATTGAAGCTGATGAAATCTCCTCGAGACCAGCAACTCTTCAAGCCCAAATCATAACTTTGCTACAACTTTGTCAACATATAATCACCATCATGTTTGTAGTACTTGATAAGCCACTGGGATTTCATAAACTGCTAATAAATTACCAAATTGTAGCCATTTCTCTGCTTGCTATTATCTTATCATTTGCAACCAGTATGGACAGGTGCCTTTTCTTGCTATTGATAACATACCACCATATTTCAGTTTTTTTAAATGGATGGTAAAAGTTAAGGATTTTAAAAAGTGTTATTGTTTTGTAAACTTAAATGCTGTTTAATTCAAATTTTGTCCCATGTCAGTTTCCTAAAAATAACCTATTTTCTATGTTGGGAAGTTTGTAAAGAGCAGTCAATCAAAACATAACAATGTGGACCAAGGGGCAATTCAATGGAGTGTGTGCAGAGTGATTCTGAATTTATATATATTGTTCAAAAATTCACACAAACAGTGTGGTCACTTGGACCTTAAATGTTTGACAAAAGTTAGGGGGATGAAACTGATTAAAAGATATATTGACTGACACATATTTGGGCACAATCAGGAAGCAAGAATAATTCAGTTTTGAGAAAATTGTAAACTATTTTCCCCATTTATTTGATCAACACAAATAAATTGATTAAAAGACAGTATCTGTGGTTTTCTTTTACAATATCACAATGGAATTTCAAACTGTTTAATTGAACTTAATCTGCACTGATGTACAGACAACACAGTTACATTAGCCAGTGAGATAAAGCACCATCAGTAGACCCGTCATTCCATATCCCACATCAATATCAAGTGTTTAAAGAAAAGTATTACCAAAAAAAAAAAAATACGAGAACAAATGCAAAAACATAATAGACAGGAAATGAAACTAAGAGCATGCAAAACATAGACAGCAACACAATGATTGTAAATAGGCACAAGTTGTTTCTGGGTTCCAGTTACCAAATATACAGTACACATGGTTTTCTAATACTTTCAGTCAGTATAACTTAAAATGAGCATAACCTCAATATGAACTTGAATATGTTTGTTTATGGCTTCTTTTTCTAACACATGTAACTGGCCTGACTGTGTACACAAACACTGTGCGTTCAATGGCAGCCATACAGTACCTGGCTGGGGTAACTAATGTTGCTGTTGTGTATCTCAGTGCACTTTTACACATCTTTCCTTCGATTAGAATTTATTTGTTTTATACTGTGCTGAATATGTTCCAGAATTTGTTTTTTTCTCAAATCAGCATATACTGTAGTGTTTACAATGTGTAAAACTTTAAGAAATGTAGTTTTAATCTGACAAACTGAAATACACAAAGCGTATTTCAATAATACATTTGTGCAACACTGCCGACAGAGTAGACACCTTATTTTTTAGTTTAAATCAATTAAAACGTGTTTTTGGGTTATCCAATTACGTGAAATATCTGCCAAACACCACGAAGATTTAAACTCTAATGCATGTCTACTGTTTTATCTAACTTACTTATTATTATAAGTGTGGTACTGTTTAGGTGTTTTTCTGTGCGTTTCACTATACCGCTGATTTTCCAGGACAGGTTTTGATATTTTTAGAATAAAAAACATAATCACTGATTACTGCACAACAAAATAACAACTTTAGATACCTAAATTCCAAGTGCAAAAAGATCAACTAGTTTCCAGCATATGAAATAGGCAGCCAACTCCCATCGGGAAAGGCTATTGCACACATGGCATGAGATGAAAATATCAAGTCCAGACCAGAGTAGGCACTCTTATAATATATATATCTTTTACATAAAACACTACATCTTTAAACAAATATTTCACTTTGGCATACATTTTCCTTTGATAGCCTATTTAACTGTGTTTCCAGCTCTTCCAGACTGAAGTCTGAAGGACTTTTTTTTTTTTGCAGGGTAAGGGGAAATATAATATATATAGAGAGAGAAATTTAACATTTCTAGGAGTACTTTTTTGTGTTTTTGAATGCAGTGTGTAATTTTACAATTATAAAAATCTCTCAAAAGTGTACCTTATGTTATTTTTCATAAACCTCTACAGACATGACTATAATTCAAAAATCAGAACGTTTTACCAAGTGAAAAATTGACCTATAATCACATTAAAAGGGGCCTGCAAAGACACAGCCCAGAGTTTTTGCTCTCACACCTGCAAACAATGTGAAAACTAACAAGAACCATGAAAGGCTTTGACAGGTTTTACACTGAAGACCACAATGTCATGTGAGATGAGACAATTTTAAATGCTCTATCAACCCCTGAGCAAATAAGTGCAAATTAGTGAAGGCTGCTATAATTGATTGTCTGACCACTAGAGGGCAGAAAACAACAAAGAAGAC